AGTGTAATGCATTCTCAAGAAGTACTGGTGCCTGCTTATCTAAGTGGAAAGATGATGTGATGTACCCAGTTATTTATGCTAACCCGAAGTTTTTCAAATCTTTAACCGAAATCACTATTGTGATTAGTAAAAATTTATTATTTCGACATGCAATTCAAAATTCCTTCTTGGTACGCAGCCTTTGAAGAGTAACCATACTCTACTGTGATGAAGAAATAGAATATAAATAGCACGGATTTCTTTGAAGCAATAAGATACAATGATTAAATCCTCATCTTTCATTACATTTACTGCAGCATGTAAATGTTTTAAATTTTTTGGCCAAACTTTCAGAGTAAGTGCATGACATTGCAACATACAACACATTGTAATAACTTCCAGTATTTCTGTTTTGATGCATGAAAATTGTTGCCTAACACTACATGGACACGTATCATCAGCGTGAAAATTGAACCAGTCATACTTGTAGGCATTTTTTTTTCAAAGGTTTCTAATACGATTGAAAGCAGCAATTCCTTTTGTAGTCAATTCTAGTAGCTCACAAAATAATGCAAAAACTAACAACTGACTGCAATTACCAATACAGTAGACTCCTCCAGTTGAATGCCTACCTTCAGAGAACTCTGTTTGGTACTTTTTGTTATTTACAATAAAATATCACCACACAGATCTTAAATGTCTGATCAGATCACATCATTAATAACAAAATCTATTGAATCTTCAGTGCTACAAAAAAGAATACATTATTTTACCAATTCCTCATTCATTGTAAAGCTCTTTTCTTAGAACATAGATATGTCACTTAATAAGAAGCTTCTAATAATAAGAATTTTTGAACTGTCACAACATCAAATTTTGTGATAGTATTGTGGTATCAAATGGTATCTTCTAAACTCCTGACATCGTCGTATTTCCTAAACTTCAAAACAGAGTGGTTACATTTTCCGAAGTTCAACTAGTGGCTGCTAAGCAGTATCTTTCTTACGAATAGCTTTAATCTCTTTTCATTGAACACTTCACAAAATTACAGGATTTCAGTCCCACATGACTGTGTCCTGCAGATTCATGAAGATTGCAAAATGCTATTTCCTGGCTTTCCCTTTCCAAGGGTATAGCCCAATATTCCTTGAAAAAAATCAGTGGTCTTTATTACATTACATTGGCTTTTCCTGTATTTCCTTTCCAGTTCTTTTGATTTTTCCATGGGGAAGTCATCTGGTTTCATACTGCATTTGGGGGTCAAACTTAAAGGTGAAGAGCACCATCTTTCTCCATGGCATAGACAATAGGGTTCAAAATTTTCGCATTAATTCCTGGGATCAGTCTTATTGCTAACATTTCCCCGATTTGTTTCTGTACTTGGGCTTTAATGCTTCTGGAATTCAGTTGATGTATAGTTTTGATTGTTTGGTGTTATTCTTTCTATTATTTATTATTGGTGTTTGGCTTATTTTATGTTTTCCTGCTTTAGCAATTTGTACTTTATTTATAAATAAGTTTTAATATTGTCTTAACAAGTTCATTATGTAGTCCTCTTTCTTTATCTAAGTGACCTTGCAAAGAGAAAAATGATCTGACTTACCATTCACACTAGGTGTGGGATAAACTTCCTCTTCATTCTCAAATATTACACACTTCATCTCCTGCTCTGAATTGTTTTGCTTAATTTCTCTAGTCATGGATGCCTGCTCCGCTGCCCTTTTTTAAAATAATTTTTACCCCCCCTCCCCCCGTAGATACTCATCTGCACTTTTACTCAGTTTTATGGGGTAATGGAATTTCTCCTTCCCACAAGAACTTTAATGCCACAACAGTTCTCTAGCCATTTCATACATTAATTTAAGTTTCGAAATAGATACTGTGGTAGTGCAATTTGGGAATTCTCTGTAGGTGATCTCTCTATAGGGTCTGTACAGGTGACAGGTGTAGGATGCGTTAATATCAATTTTTACTCATTTTTTGAATGATATGGTGGAGATGTAGAACTTATTTATAGCATTAAACTAATCCAGAACATTATGGCTGCTCCAGCATCACAAGCCTAGGATTCATACCCAACCTAGTATTAAATTCTCATGCTAATTCTGTGATAAAATTGGTTGTTGATCTCTGGCTATTATTCAAGGTATGCTTGTTCTCATAAAGACCTTCAGTAGTAACACATTGCATGTTGATATAGCTGTAATCATTCTCATCATACCTGAAATTTTTTCTTTATGGTAAATCAAATAATCCATTAAAATATACTCATTTTTCTTTCTTTTAGTGCCTAATACCTTATAATGTCTAGCAGTTTCTTGTCTGTTCTTTAAAAATACTAGTTTCCAAACACTAACCTACATTGAGTTCATCCTCACTTTTTCACTTTGAGCCTGAACACTAATTATAATCAAAAGTTTCTCTCCTGACATAAATAAATGCCACAGATTTTACTTTTGTTTAAATTAGTGACTAATCCCTTCTGGCGGAGTCTCTTGGAGTATCAATTTATTTTTTATTGGCCAGGATTGCAACATATGACTTGAACCTTTCCTTTCTCCTTTGTGTATAGCAGCTTGTAAGATCTCATAGACTGCTGACATTAAAACACAAGGCACAACTGATTCATCTGTAATGGAAAATAATACATGTATGTTCTTGGTTTGGTTTATTTAATTATGTCAAAGCACACTAGGGCTATCTGCCTAAGGGGAGGGATGCCTTCGTGGAGGACTTTCTAACATTTGCGTTCTTGAACGACTAATTTGGATCTTCTGATTTTAACATAATGGGCAAAGCCTCTGAATCCACTGTTATTTTATCGCCAAATGCTGATGTAAGCTATCTGTTAGCATGATCATTATTTTGAAAAGATTGTGGTATGTGATTTGATTTAATTATTTACAATTCTCTGGGCTGTCTAAAAGTGGCTCTGATTTCCCTCCCAACCAAATATATACATACTGTAAACGTGTGTCAATTACTCCATTATTAAAATATGCAATTTTAACTCTTGTGGTTAATTTGTTGTCTTGCTTATATTTTCGTATTGAGGAGACTTTTTTTTTTAAATTTCATTTTGCAAAATTGGCATTTTGTTCTGTCTCTTTGGACAGTAACACAAATATGCAATTTGTTTAGAAAGCTTACACCAATTTATATTGTTAAAATTATTTCTTGTAGGAGATGGTACATATTTCCAATTACCATAATTCATTATCTTATACTTCTGCAAAGTTCTATCCTTTGAAGTTAACCAATTATTGCAAATTTTGGTAATTAGTTTCAGTTTCAACCAAGTATTTAACTATTTGATTTTTACATAATTCTTTTATCCCCCCACTTCTAATGCACTCAGTAACCTGTCACTGACCTGTCACAGTAACCTGTCACAGTAATTCATTCAGCGTTTTAAAAAAAAAAAATCTGTCACCTTTCTAAGTTCACGATAAAAATTCCAGTTTGTTCTTAGTCTACTTATGAAGTGTGTATGATTTTAATATGTCGTGAGAAATTCTGTAGACAAGCTTCTGTTGTTGCCTGAAATTCTTTTAAAATTATTGTTTACACTTTCTTGTAGTCTTTCATTTCTTCTACATTTATATACATCAGTAACTGTTTCTGTTTGGCTTCTTTAAACTGTTTTCTGTTTTAGTATCATCCGAATAATTTTAGTTGGGTTGAGATCTGGCACCTATGCAGATCATTGAAATTTTCAAATTGATATAGATTTAAAACCATCTGTGTACTTCATGCTGTACTGCTTGGTACATCCTAAAAGATGTAATTGTGTTGTTTTGAAACATATAAATAGCCAAAGGAAGCATTTTTCTTTCAAGCATATTAATGTATGAGCTGCAGTAATTTTTCCTTCTTTGATGTGAAGATTAGCTACTTCATAGGCTGAGTCACATATCAAAACTATAATAAGATGTACTGATGTAGTACAATATGGTTTAAATCTCTCATTATGGTGGTATCATTTAAATGTGACCCTTTTTTACTGGGTGTATTGTTTCATTACTCCAGAAAACTTTATGCCATTGATCCATGTGATCATGTAACCATTGTGATCCTTAAGGCATTGTTTCTCATTAATGAAAGGCTTCTTTCCAAATGTACAACACATTACAGATTTGTACAAAATTTATAAACAGCTCATTCTCCCCCCCCTTTATAGACCATGCTTGTTTAGTTGTCAATTTAAGAGTCCAACTGGAAACATTCACTGAATAGTTTTTCACAGCTGTCAGAACAAGCTTTCAATCAAGACTAATAAATGACACTTGTTCTTACCATCATTTTCGTCTTCTTATCTGTTTCTGAAATTTTTAGTGAAATTTAAGTTATTGATGCAGCTACTCATTGTGAAGCTCTTATTGCAGCTATTAACTTACGTAACCACATTTCATTGCAATATGATGGCAAGATAATCCTTTAATATGCCATGCAATAATTTTAATATGTGTGAATTAGTTAAATATAAGAAAAAGGATTTCATTTATTAATATAGAGATACAATGAAAATTTTGTAATAATTTATTAATGTACAAATAATATTTCCTAATAGGCCAATTGCATTCACAAAATTTATAAAGAGCTCATTTTTTTTAAATAATCTTGATAATAAGTTAAATAAAATTTTGGTAGCAGAGAATTTAGAAATAATTTTTCCCCCTTTTAAATTCAACAAAACACATTAAAATTGTACAAATTTATAAACAGCTCATTCTCTCTCTCTCTTTTTTTTTAAATTTAGATTATTTTTTTTTTTTTTTTTTTTTTTTTTTTTTTATAATTCACTACTTAACAATAGTCTAGCTTAGACGCATTTCCTCTTTACAGTTTATATTTATAGTTTGAGGTTGAAAGCAAAATTTAGCAATATATATGAAATATTTTTAAATGGAAGAATATTGTAAGATTTATGTTTGTAAGTGTTATAGTGTTTAATTTATTATCAGCATTTTTAGTGATTGAAAAATATTTTCCTAATTCTTTCTTTCTTTTATTTAACTTAGGTTTTGATCCACGTTTGACAAATTTTCATACTGTGGGTCCAGCTCCTACACCAAGTCAAATTCAGTTTGCAGAAGAATCAGGGAAACATAAAAACTTAAGGGTTTCGGGAATAAAAGTTGAGGCACCAGCTCTTACTCCAGAATTAGCAGCATGTCGGAACTTGCTTGTTGCTGCTGCATCTGGTTCTGCAGCTTTTCCTGGAATTGATCCTAATAAATTACCTCCTCCACCTCCTCCTCCTCCTAATCAAGAAAAACAGAACGAAGAAAAAGAAAAACTTTGGCCATGCCCATCTTGCAAGGTGCCATTTAAAGCAGCATCAGAGTTGCAGGTACATCTGTCAGCACACACGAAAACTGAGAAAACAGTACCATGTGATATGTGTGGTAAACTCTTTGCAACTAATGAGAGAGTGAGAATACATGTTCGATCTGCACATGGTGAAAAATCTTGTGCATGTGATATTTGTGGTAGTGGTTTTAGTTACAGGTGTAAATTATTAGATCACATGAGGACTCACACAGGAGATAAGCCATTCCACTGTGAAGTATGTGGGCGAAGTTTCTCGCAGAAGAATCATCTTACTCGACATTCCATGATTCACACTGGAGAGAGACCTTACCCTTGTGATTTTTGTGGACGTGGATTTTATCGAAAAGATAAACTTACTCGTCATAGAAGGATACACACAGGGGAAAAGCCTTATGCATGCCTAGCATGTGGTAAAGCTTTTTATAGGCGAGATAAATTGACACGGCATATTAAAATGCATAGTGGTGAAAAACCATATGCCTGCCCAGTTTGTGGAAAGCGTTTTGTTGAAGATAGAGATCTTAAGAGGCATAAGTGCTCTTCTCGACACACACAGAATGCTAATAATGCTGCTAAAATTCAAGCTGCACAAACTAGTACAGGTTTACTTCAACTTCAGCAGTTACATTACCAACTACAACAGCATCATCTTCAAGCCCACTCTGGCCCACCTCATCCTCAAGCACATTCCGGACCTCAACATCAGCAAGCACACACTCAAACCACACACCAGCAAGCCCATACTCAGACTACACATCAACAGGCCCATACCCAAACTACTCATCAACAAGCTCATACCCAAACTAGCCACCAGGGTCATTCACAGCCTCAGCACCAGCAAGCTCATACACAGACACATACTCAGCAAGGACATGCTCAGCAGCCTCCTGAGCATCAAAATCAGAATCAACAACAAGGTCCTCAACAGTCACATGTGCAACAACAGCAGCAACAAGCTCCACCTCAACATGTGCAACAACCGCCACCACCGCCACATACTCAGCAGCAACAACCTCCACCTCACATGCAGCCTCAGCAACAACAGCAACCTGGAGGTCCACCTCAGCCACCGCCTCAATCTCAAAACTCGCAGCCCCCTACTCCTCAGTCGCAACAACCACAACATCCTAATCAAATGCAACAAAACCAACAACCTTCTCAACAGCAGCAACAACAGCAGCAGCAGCAACAACAATCATCTCAACAGCAACACCAGTCGCAGGGAATTCCACCTCATCATCAGCCACCTCAGCAACAGCAGGCTCCTCCTCCTCCTCACCAGCAACAAAATCAGCATCCACAACACCCTCCTCCAAGCCATCATCAACAAATGCAACATCAAAACAGACACCTACCTCACCAACAGTCTCCTTCCCCTCCGCAGATTGCTCACCAATCTCCCCACCCTTCACAGCAGCAGCAGCAACATCCACAAGGACCACCTCAGCATCAGCCCCAGCACCATGGACCACCACCTCCTTCTATAGTGCAGCCTCACCCTTTTCAAGCTTTAAACTTGCAAACCTGACTGGCGGGGTGCACCATATGGGGTGCACTGAACAGAATATCTACCTTTAATGGCCAGCACTGAAAGTTTGATGACTGCTGTCTATCAACTTCTTTTGAAAAAAAAATCAGGCTCTTGCATGATTCATGCTTAAATCATTCTGCAGTTTCAGCTGATAGACGGATACATCATTCCTTTAACTTTGATGTTTGTAAGTTGAAACTGCCTATTGAGATTATTTTGCAATGTTGAAATGTTAAATCTTCGAAAAGTTGTACATTTTATTATGCCAGTGAAAGACTTTTCAGCTGAAATAACATTTTAGGAATACTTAGCAGGAAAACTTAATAAATTGTGTACTTGTCAGTCGGAGTTTATGAAACTGTTGTAGGCCATAAAAGCAGTTTTCAAGGACAAGCAAACTCTATGCAGCCTTTAATGTTGCTCCATGTGATTTTTGCATGTACTTTCATTTATATGCAGCCCTTCCTGTACACTACTTAAAAATGGTTTCTGTGTTTTCTTTATATAATTGCTTTAGAGTACTTTTGCATTTTTTAAGGTTTACAAGTTTATATAATTTTGAATTTTAATTATATTTTAGTCAATTAAATCTTAATCTCTTGTAATTGATTTTAATATTTGTCAAAAAATTTAATTACTTGAAATGTACATATTTATTTTGTATGAAGCAATTTAGGATGCTGCATAATTTGACTTGAAAAATATGTGATATTACATTCAAAAGTGCATTTCTTTATTGCTGATGAACTGCCAAAAATAGTATTGAAGCTATAACAAAATGAATTGCATTTTATTTATGGTTTTTAAAAGTTGTGTTATTTTAGTTAAAAGCTAAATTTCAATATTTTCTCTGTTAATGTATTTAATTCTGAAAGTAACCTAAAATTTTAGACCAGATTAGAAGTTAAAATTTGTAACGATGTTGCTTTATGGTTGTTGAATTAAGTAATTTTAACAATAACAAACATTTTTTTAAATATCCATAATTATAAAAGTGTTATGTAGATCAGTTTTCTGAGCATAAGATTCATATATAATTTGTTTCAAGTATTATGTGCACTGTAGTACTTTTATAATTTAAATGTTTAAAAACTTGCTTCTTGAGCAGAGATTCATACTCAAGAAACATATGTATTGTTACTATCAAAGCTGCAGTCTCCTGATGTAGCATCTATTTTGCATCCACTCTGAATATTTTTATATTATCTGAAATAAATTATTTGCAGACATGTGTGAGAATATCTCCACAATGTAATTACTTTTGCCTGTTTAATTTATTGTAATGAAATTTACAATTAATATTCAAGCAGAGTTTTAGAAATAGAAAAGTTTTAATTGTAAGCTGTTGAGAAATTTTTCCCACTCGTATGTTTTCAATGACATGTATTTCCATCGCCTTATTCATCTGAGGAAAATACAACTTGATACTGATGTGGAAGAAAACACTTTTAGTTAATGCCTCTTTTTAATTACATAGCTCAATATATTAAAAAAATTTTCAAGTTTATGGACATTGAAGGAATTCATTAAAATTGCTTAATGATTTTCCCCCTTTACTTTTAAGTATTAGATTACTGTACCACTATATGCATAAGAGTTTTAATATTTGATTTTTTGAAATTAATTGGGTATGTATTTAAATGCGTAATTTATTTTAGCAAAAATTTTTTTTTTTTTTTTTTTTTTTTTTTTTTTTTTACTATGATCTTTGAAACCTGTTTATAGTTATTTCTTTGATAGCAAAGAAAGATAATTATGGATTACTTTTGAATTATTTAGAATTATTGAAATTTATGTAGAATTTTGTTACTTGCATATTATATTTTAGAACTGGTGGTACCAAGATAACTGTTGCCAAATTTTTTACAAATAATTTTGGTTGCCAGCTTATGGAGGAGGGATTTTTTGTTCTCTAGTTTTGATAATGCTGGTCTCTTGTAGGTAATTAATTGTAACTGTGGCATACAGTTTTTCTTGACAAAATTTGACTGTTTTTAAATCCTTGTAACTACAGTAAATTAGTTTTGAATGTGATCTGGTGAGTTTCCTATTCTCATTGACTTTTTGTATTTTTCAGTCTTGCATTTCTACAGTATATTTTATTTACTGATGCATGATTTCCTTTTTGGTAGAATATTTTAGAAAATCTTTAAAATTTTGTCAATATTCTATTATCCTAGAAAAAGCTGATAAATTGAATTTTATTTTTTCTTAAATCGAAGACACCCATGAAGAAAGTAAAAAAGTTCTGAATAATTTGAATGCAGAGAAGGTTGAGAACATAATTGCAACAAAATGCAGCCATTTATGAGCAAGCTGTTACTTTTTATGCTGACCAAAATATCCGGTAACGGATAGTATGCAAGTATCAAAATTTTTATATTTTATCTAAAATGTTCAGATGTACAGACGGAATTTTTTATGTTTGATGTTATGGGAGCAATACAGTTTTAGCTATAAATTTGGGTTGGTAGATAATATTTTATTTAATAGTTATGAGTAATGCTTTCATATCCTTTGATAATCTTTAATTTTTCTTAAAATAGTTAATGCTTTTTAGTGTGGTTTATTTTGGATTCTGCTTAGTGATTTGATATTAAATATTGTATTTATAGTGTGCCAATATATGCTGGTCAAAATAAAGGATGTTAAAAAGGTAATCTAGTCAAAAGACTCGGTTGCCAAAGTCTTGATTATATTTCTTCATGCTCTTTTATGATATATTTTCCCTCTCATTTTTATCTATGCAAATATTTAGTAATTTTATTTTGCTCTTTTTTCTAGTGTAATTGGTATGTATAAGAAAAAGAATTTTCTTGCTGTTTACATATAGTAATTTTCAGAAGTAGATATCTTTTAACTTATGACCTTTGTAATACACATAACAAAATTTTATATTGAGAAGTTATGTCCTAGAAAAAGTTTTAACTTACTTTTTTTAAAGATAAAAAATATTTTTACTTTTTATCCTAAAAAATGTATGTAAATAATTAAAATCTGTTTTATTTTGCAATATAATTTCTGTTATTTTGTGTGATAACTAACGCTGTTTTATGTGATTTCTTTTATAATGTACATATATTTTCTACCGTAACTTAAGAACAAAAAAAGGTAAATTTTTGTGTCAGCTAGAAATTCAATTAATGACTTCTAGAACTATGATGAGATAAAGGCTGTACTAGTTCCTTTCTTAACATTGTTCTTATGAAGGGAGAGCTTATTAGTATTAAGGTGGAAGGATATTTCCCAGTTTATAATACGTCTGAAAAATAATGAAATCAGAAATGGGGCATGAAATAACAGCTTACCTTTCTATGTATACTACTTATATTTGCTTCAGGAAAGAGAATAATGACTTATATTCACTAAATAATTAATGGTATATTACTTTTGAGAGTTAAAAAGCTTTGGTACTTTTTCTCTCCCTTTTCATCATACCTTGCCTATTTTTCTGAATTAAAATTGAGAGAATGAAAAATTTCATGACATATTTGTTTAGGAGAGTTGAATATATAAGAAAGGTGATATATTTTTCCTAAATTATTGCATTTTTAAAAGTAACTAATTAATGTCAGCATTTATGTTTATTTCCAATTTTTATGGTGTTATGTTCGGATGTCTCCAAATTTACAATGATAAAATAAAAAAAGGAAGAAGTGCCATCCAAATTATGAAATTCAAAACATATTTACATGTTAAATAATTACAAGTAACATGATAATTTTTGTTCCAATTTAGAAGATTGATAGATTGAAAAATTTTTACTTTTAAGTTTTTTACTTTTTTTAACTATTGAGACAAAAGCAGCCTGGAACTAGTTTGCAGTTAAATTATATGTTTCATTTGCTGTAAAAAGCAGAAATAAAAATAAAGATTTAGAATTTTCATGTTTTATCATTTCTCAATATATGTTCTAGGATTCTTTTTTTAAATGCTTTTTATTTCATACAAGCTTCTTAAATTCTTTTTTTTTTGGCAAATATGATTTTTGTTGACATTTATGATTTTTTTAACTGCATTGAAACAAACTGCATAGTATTAAAAGTATAATGTAGTTTATTTAGTATATTTCTTTGAGGATTCATATTAAAATATAGTCAGATATCATAATTCTGTTTTTTTAATAAATAAGATGCTTTGTTTTATGTAGATTTTTGTGTACTTGTTTTGTGCATACATAAAATCTCGCAAGTTCTCAAAATATTAAAGTGTGTATAGTGTATATATTGGTTTTGGTTAATAATTTTGCATTGCAGAAAACTGTAATTTACTTGTATGTATAATTAAGATGTGTGCCATTTCTGCTTGTTTTATGTCACATTTAGCTATTGGTACCATTTAAATGGTGATGGGAAAATTTGTTGCTTTTTAATAAATTTTTGATTTAGTTAATATACTTATAATCTATTGAGGTTCGCAATGTTTATTTTTTATATTGTATCTAAGAATTTTAAATTCACAAGTTTTCTTTCTAAAAGAAAGATATATATATATATATATATGTATATTAATCAAAGTATATCATTTATGTTAAAGAAAGCATTGAATTGTTCTATGCAGGTTGCCTAAATGGCTTGTTATTGAGTTATACAGAAATGTATAATTTTAGTTATGATATGACATTGAAAAATAAAGGTTATATATGCATTTCTGCTTTATATTTTAACCTTCACTGTGTAAATAATTAGTGAGATTCTAGGTTAATAATTTCTTTTAAGATTATAAGGTCATCAAATTCATATTTATGCATTAATTACACATAACAGTGAAACCTCAGTTATCTTTTCTTCTTATATTATTCAAGAGTATTTGGTTAAAAAATAGAAATTCAATCTAGAATTTAGACTGTTTTAAGTTTGTAAATAAAATATTTATTTCTTAATATTCCCCCCCCCCCCCACTGTGGTTTGGAAATGTATTCTGTAAAGACCTGTTAACCCTAATGTATCGAAAATATCTACCATAGAGAGAGAATTTATACTGTAGCAACTAGTGTTTATTGAATGGGAAAATATAATTTGTAATCACTATATCAATCTAATAGTGTTGATTAATTTTTTTTCTTCTATGTGATTCCTATTATTATAAAATCAGTAACATATTCAGTGTTATGAACATCTAACATATGTTGACTATTGCAAGTTATCCTTCCTTTGCTAACGTTCAGAGAATCCTTAAGGAAAGACAATATTTGATTGGTAAAAATTATTGGTAGATGAAGGAAATGTGGTCATCTTTACATTTTACACAAAGGTAAAAGTAAAAAATTTAATATTAATTTAATTATTTAAATATAATTAAGTTTTTGTTTTATGCTGTGTTCACATAATGTAGCATATGAGTTCAAGTCAGTTTGAGTGGATTTGCTGACATTAAATAAACCTCTTTGCATTACTTATCATCCGCAACACTTATTCTAAAAAGCAGAATAATAAGATGAATGAAAGCAAGTGGAAGAGTGTGGAACTAGGGGAGAGGAAAATGATGACACTGTTTAGATTTCAGCTGATCAGGCACTCAACCTGTCCATGAAAGTTCTGATAGAAGTAAATATGCTAATATACTGTTCAGTGCATGAATTTAATCTTCAGTATTTAATATTTTTCTCAGATTTAGTGTTTTAGGTTTATTATATTAAAATTCATGAAAGCTATCTGAGGCAAGAGATGTCTTTTTGAAGGACTTTCTAAGGAAAACTGTCTTGTGTTTATGTTACACCTGGGGTAAACCATGCAAAGTCCAAAATTGGGAGTGGTTTTACCATTTACAAGTGTGCTTTTTTCTCAATAGGTGTTAATGCTGATTATCATTCTCACTGAATGATGAGCCACCCTTTTTAATCCTGTAATAAGCAAGTCTAAGCATTGAGTGATATACAGATTCTGACATCTGCCTAAAAAAGAATCTTATTATGTAGCATGATTGTCTTAATGTTTTGTGCTTTTGATTATCTTCTGAAGGTTTGTTTTATGCTTTCCAAAAGGAGAGGGGAGGGGGAGTATTTTCTGTTATATTGCATTTAATTTTAAAGCATATTATCTTACAAAAATTTTATGTTTATTTGGATGACCTTCAATATTTTAGATTAATGCTGTGATAGAAATCTAACAAATTTAAAATTGTCCTTAGATAAGATGCTATCAGATTGCAAAACAAACTCTTTCAACATTGTATTGAGCACAATATTTTCATGGAATGTTTTGTTTCCAAGCATTTTGCATATTAGGTTATACTATTAAATTGTGATCCTTCCTTCTAGTTGGTTGACATACGTGAAACAGTATTGAACACAATTTTTTCTTGATGTCATAAAAAAGTTTTAGGTAAAAAAAAAAAAAACATTGTTCAAATTACTTATGGGAGAACACAGTTTTAAAAAAAATAGTCTGCTGCATTTTCTGTTCATTTACTTACTTTTGAAGATTAGATATTTTTGATTTTGATCTGATATACATCAAAACAAAATTTTTTTGAATAATTTCTGCAAGATGGAGAGAAAGTTTAATTGTGTCAAGTCTTGTTTCTAAGGGGGCTCTCCAAAACATCTGTGAGGCTCTAGTGAGGCAAAACTTCTTATAAAGCTTGGTTTATTGTTCCTAATGTTGATGCTTTAACGACAGTAATAAACAACCAGCCAGTATAAATATGAACCTTCTTTATGATATGAGCATTATAAAGCTGAGTTCATTTAAAAGGTTGTTAGCAGGTGTAGAGTTGTCAGAAACTGGGAAGACAAAATATTGAAAAAGAAGTCATATATTTTTTAATATAAGTAAATAATTATAAAAAGTGTAAAACACACAAATAATTCTTTTTAGAATAGTATGTAATAATTAAGTCTTATCTTGCTCTTTATGTATATTTTGATCATTGCGACTTATATGATTACATAATTCCTTTTCATTAAATTATAAATCTCCATCTGTTTCAACTTTTGTTAAAAGAATCTGGATTTTTTGTTTTTGGTGTGTGTGTATGTAGTTGCCATGTTATTGGAAGTTATAAAGAAAGTAAAAGTATATTTTAGACACATTCATAAGCAATTTGAATAGGGGGAGAACTTGAGTGGAAAAGGTAGCTAACACTAACTGAAATTCAAGTTCACTTGTGTTAGAAATACTGAGACACACAGATGGGCTAGGAAATTCAAACAAGTAAATGTTTTTGCTAAAGGAAATAACAGTAGAAATAGTTTTGAAGAAAAAAGGCTGAACTTTCGAGTTTTACTGCTGTTGTAAAATTGGTTTCCATGAAAATGTATGTGAGGATTTCTAGGAGCCTCAAATGTGTAAATCGTTTAGTTTGAGCACAATCAATAGACAATTTTGAAGAAAGGATAACAGAAAAGAAGTGTATAATGAAGTTGTTAAAAAGAACATAATTGTAGGATGAAATTATTTTTCGCTATTAGGACGTCTGTTGGCCTGATTTTCTAAGATATCCATATCTCAGTGGGTTAAATTTACATTAAAACAATAGAAAGTTGTTGACATAAAACTTTTATTAGTACTAATAATAAATGAGACAAAAAATTGTGCTAAATGAAGAATTTTTATGATGAAGATAGGTTCAACTTCTATATGTGAAAAGAATGCTTTAAGTTTCTTTTAAGTATGTGAAAAGTATTCTCTCTTTATACCAAAATAACAAACTGTAGGTTTCTCCGAACATTAAAAAAATCAGTTTAGAATATGTATGTTTAATATGAAGGCATTTCATTGTTATAAAATAATGTTACTTATTACAGCTTCAGTATATTACAAAATTTTAAGTTCTTAATATGTGTGTGTCGCTCAATATATAATGCATGCCTTCTTAAATGCTGCTCAATCTAATTATTTTGTAAATGATTTTTTGGTAGAAATCAATTATAACAGCATACTTGAGCTACCTGCATATGTTTGATTTTATTTTTATAGTGCAAAAAGTAAATTTCATCTTATATAAGTTTTCTAAGTTTAAAACTTGTTTTTGCTGCATATTTTTGTGTATTTTTTACAATGCTACGTAGTTCATGCTACCCTTTTATTATTTATAACAAACTTTTTATAGAACATGGTTTTGAAATTACAGTAAAATATATTATTAGGCTTTTGAGTGAGGCTACTTATCCATTCTCTCCCCCCCTTTTTTTAAGTTGATCAATCCAAATAGGACATTGATTATCAATTTTATTTTCATCACATTTAAAAGCACTTTGATAAATAAAAGCTTTCCTTCACTATACAGGATTTTCTTAGCATAAAAGTATAAGAAAATTGAAAAATAAATTTAGCTAAAGAACATAAAATTTTAGATATCCAATTAAATATTGATATATTTTGCATCAGAATTGAGTTACAAATAGTTCATATGAAGTCAGTTTGGCATTCCTTTCAAATTGTGTTACTACGCAGCATAAAAACTGCCTGATTTCTCCTTGTTTTCTTGTAGAAATCTCCCAGGCCTTAAGATTATAAGATTGGCAGCTATGATACAAAAATTATGCAATGTTACAAATAAATAAGGTATGAAATGAGATTTTTTATGTTTCCTTTTAATGGGGGCATATTATTTGAATGAATGAATTTCTTAGTTACGGATATTTTGTATAATGCTTTTATTACTTTGAAACAAAAATTAAGAATTGAGACTTTCTGAGTTGTTATATTTACTCCATGCTATACAGCCATTTTCATGAATTAGTACACAATTCTTTGCCCGTATTTTGAAGTTACAATTAATAAAATTTATGTCAATAAAAAGGTTTGAAAAGAATAGTAGCTTAAATTGTCACTGATCCTATAATATTTATTATAATCAATAAACATGCTGCACACTTTTTTTGTAATTAAAGGTTTAACAGAAGTTAAGCAAGACTTAAAATCAAAGTTGTATGATATTCTTATGTCTAGTAGTAATAGCTGATGTTAAATTAAGAACTAGAACACCCAGTTTTTTAATTATTTTTTGGTCCATGTCCAAGTTTTGGTTAAAAATGAGGTAAGCTGATGAGGTTTCACTGTGTGTAAATGATTTAAAACACAACTTCTGAATTCAAACGAATATCTGTAATTTCATTTAAATATACAGAGTTTTAACGTTCATTGATATTTTTTATTAAAACCTAAAGTAAGGTTTTTGACTGCATTTAAATTAAAAAATTCTGTATAAGAATGCCTTGAATGCATGATTAAATCTAGAAATTTTATTGAAACTTGAATAAATGGATATAAATATTCTTTTATGAGCATGAAATGCTTTATTAGTATACATTCCACATTATAATTGTAAAAGAATATTCTTCTTTGCTAAAGCTGTCATTCTAATTTTGTTAATTGTATATTCTATTATATATATATATATTAAAATTTATGTTTTATTAGGACTGTTAAGGCAAAAACAATGACCTGTAATTTATTGCGTGCCATAAATTTGTTGTGTTGTATTTTCTGTCAGTACAGCTTGAACTAGTAACATTTTTATGAACTAATAATAATAGACAGTGCTTACACATTATATATAAATATAAAATGCATCTATATCATTAATTTTTTGCTTCAGATATATTTAACAAAATTGTGTGTGTGTGTGGGGGGAAATTTGTATTAATAATAGTGCTTCTAATTTTTATGTTTTTTGAGTGTTGTAATTGTTTAGAAACATTGAAGCATCAGCAGAAATCAAGTATATGTGTTATAATTCAAATGTAATTTTTAAGCATATAGACAACAATATTTAAAATATTTCTGAATAAATGTAGAGAATTCTGTTTGAGCTGCAGGTGTTGCATTCCTGTTGACTGTACTTTATGGAATTTTAAAGAGCTACCTCGAAACTAACCTGCCAGATGCATATAAGTGAGAATTGCTGTACAGTTTCTTCATAATCTTCATGGTATTCTATTTTCCAAGTTCAATGTTGTGCTGTTCCTTGCCCAAGAGTTTGGGATTTGCAAATAGAGATTATGCTACATATTGTAAATTTTACGAACTTTTGTTGAGTAATGTTTTCTACATGCTGTTTCCATATGCAGTTAGCAATCTGCATGTGACTGCAAATAGTATGAAGAAATTTTTGTTACGAAATGTAAATCTTATACAGTTAAAAAAATTGTCTGTTAAAAATTTCTATTTTGTTTAAATGTTTCTCTGGAACTGTAATTTTTGGAAAATTTCAACAATTCATATATAAAATTTAAGATGGAAGTTACGCTGCAAATAAAAAGGAGACTAAATTTGAAATATAATTGTTTTAAAATTTTTAGTATTTCTTTTGTTTCGTTACTCACAATGTGATATATTGAAATACTTATTGCAGAAATAAACAAGTAAGAATTGTCAAAATACATCTAAGAAATGTACTTGTTTAGAATTAATTCATGATTGCATTCAGTTAGTACTTTTCTTTATTTTGGATTAGTTCTAAATTGTTTTTATGGTGCAGAATTATAAAATGCAGGATAAAACTATACACTCGTATTATGTGTAAATATTTTCATTTGCTTGCTAAACTTAGGAAAGGAGTGCCATAATATTTATAGGGTGTCTTCTGATGTCTGAAAAATATCCAAATAAGTAGCATTTCACAGCCATTGGTGGTCACATTATGGTCATATTATTTAATAACAAAATTTTTTAATAATATGGGGAAGAAAAAATAAACGTCCCTCATGTATTGATAGACGAAGTTATAGTATGGATATTTCTTCACAGGCTTATGTGTTATAAAATCTATGATTTAATTTTCAAAATTTAGTTAAGTATTTTAAACTATAAAATAATTGTATGCAGACACTTACTATGTAAAGTGTAAAATTTTTCGTCTTAACTTTGAATAATCTCTATTCATCAAGAAAATAATTGAAAAGGCCTTATTAATCCAGTTTCGAAAGTTTTTGTTTTATTATAAGCTATAGTTAAATCAGACTTTTACATCAATAAATGTCTTATATTTTGTATAATTTTGTAATCTGTTCTCGGTTTTTCTCATTCTTTGAAAAAAGTGTATAAAATGAATCATAATTAGTCAATTGAATGGGCACTCCTTATTTTTTATTTTTGGGATTAATTTTGCATATTGATGATTTTTCTAAAACTAATAAATTATATTTTATTCAATATAACTCAAATTAAAGAACTAATGTTGATGTGGTCGTATTTGTTAAAAACTGCTTTTTAAAAGATGAACATATTTGTTTCAATTGTGAAATGTAATGTGTATAAAAACCATTACATTAAATAATTGTTTCTGATAACTAAGTTATCAATGGTTCATTTTGGTTAGTTGTATGTTTTGAAGGAATAACTGTTCCTCAAGTTTTAGGGGCTTTCGTTTGTTTTCTCTTTATTATAAAACAG